GTGCCCGGGGCCTTGCCTTCCCTCTCACCAGGCACAGTGAGTGGTGTGCCCAGGGCCTTGCCTTCCCTCTCACTAGGAACAGTGAGTGGTCACAGGGGCTCTGGGCTCCTCTGAATGCTCATGGAGCTTAATTGTCTTTGTTTCTGGCAAAAAAAAAAAAAAAAAAAAAACATATTCTGTGATTTCTTGGATAGTTTTAGGGTTTTCATAGGAAAAATGTAAATGGCACTGGTTTTCTTTTTGCCATAAGAGGGTACTGCTGGGAAATATTCTATTCAAAGAAAGGTTCTTTGTTTTTTAATTGAAGAGCTTTGACATCCCTCAGTGCTGATTGAACACCCTGTCCTTTCTTGAGAATTCCGTTTTTTTACATATGATGTAAGAGAAGTTTTTAACTACTTGCATGTGGGTTTACTCCTAGAGTGTATTTAAAAAAAAAAAAAAGTCAGGAAGTACTTAGAATGAATCTCTAGTACTAAGCATTTTTTATTTCTCAATAGTGTTTAAAAATAGCATTGTTTTCATTGTCCTAAGCTACCTAAAGGACTCATGCAATGTAAATATATAACATCCTAAAATGTATGTAGATATGTCTGCTTACCTGCCAATTTTGACTTGGGATGAATATTAACATTCATTTTCGTTAATTTCAGATGATCACCTAGGAAAGGGGAAGGGGAAAAGTATTAATGTTGAAGATCTTGATGTTTCTCAAGCAGTGAAGAGATGACACTTTCATTTGGGGCATTTTTTGTCTTAAAATTGTATGTATTAAATAAGTTATTTATTGTTCCAGTGTTACCAAAATGTACCACTAATATGTGTGTATTTTGTAGAAATTGGAGTTTTCTGCAAAAACACTTAGCCCTTCATGTTTTTCTGCACTTGTTAATAAAAGCTAACCGTCATCTAGCTTATTGGATTTGATGTGATATAAACTGAGTGTTCTTTTTAGGAAGTATTTTAAAGCTCCCTAACAACAACAACAACAAATTTGTGAGACGTGAAGGGGCTTTTTTGTACCTTGTACATTCTCCTAAAAAAAAGACAGGTCTTATAGCCATATGCTCTGAATTTCCTTCAGCTAGAATTATGTGGATTTGCAGGAAAAGTCAGTTTTTAAAAAATATTTTTTAATAAAACGACTAATTCCTATAAAGTTTAATTTTTTTTAACTAGCTATTTTTCACACAACCATTTACAATTAGGTTTAAATGCCTGAATTACTATCTAAAGTTGAACTTTTAAACTAGATAACAATGTACCTTTTCTTTCCTTAGAGCATTTTGGCTTCTACTGGAAGATTTAATTAAAAGGTAGAGGTGGAAATAATTGTTTTAATTTTGCTGTAAGTAAAACAAAGAGTTGATTTTATTATATAAAGAATGTGAAAGAAACATGAAGAGACAGGCTTTGGGAGAAATACCAAAAAGTACCTTTTAAAAGATGGCATTGTTTAAGGTCCATGTGGCCTTCAGTTGTGCAATAACAAGATGAGCTATGAAAGGGCCTACCCCTACTTACTTGGGCTCTTATTAAACATCAGTTTTATTCTTGGAATAGAACAATTGTCAGTGCTATCTCTAAAATGCTGCATTGATATTTATTAAAGAAGTTTTTATAAGGTAGAGTCTGCAGACTCATTTCACTGAGAACATCTATTATAGTAGACAGCTCCTGATTAGCGAAAGTCTTATGGTATATTCAGAATAAAACTTTGCACAGGTACCTGTACACTGACAACATTTAGCTTAAATGTTTTCCACAGGGAAGATTGATAAGGGTTTTAGTCAGTGAAACTGGTATTCTCTTCAGGGTGTTGATTCTGTGCAGTCTTTGACAATTACTGAATACAGAAAATCACTAAAATAATCCCCTTAAGCTGTACTTTTCAAGTCAGAGAAGTTTGACAGGCCCCGTTTGTGGCTAAAATCATATATACGTGTGGAAGTGTTATAAGGGCCCATTTCCATTTTTAAATGAAATATGTAATTTCTGATTAATATTATGAATGTCATTATATTGTATGTGGGAATATAAATATGTGAATTCTTCCTAGAGGGCTTGGTTTACATTCAAGGATGTTGGCAGTGGACAGTAGTTTACCTCAGAAATTGCAGTCATGCAAGACTAGATTAAGAAAGGATGCTGGAGTTTACAGTTTTGATTACTGATAGAAAATGATCAAAATGGAAGCTAAACAGGATTGTCACATGTAGTCCACAGTCCTTTCGTACGCATTATTCTGTAACTTGTTTGTACTTAGGCAACTTTTATACTTTAAATGTATCACTTAATAAAAAAAAATTTAAACAACTCACCTTTGTGTAAAGTATGTTCGTATCACTGTTCTGTCATCAATAGAGATACACCAAAGCCAGAAGAACAATTAGAGATGTTTCTCCAGGGCTTCTTTTGGGGTCCCCGGCAACCGTGTTGGGGGGTGTGGAATAAGGGTTGAGGAAGAGGGGAACCTTTCCTGATTTATGTGTATTTGGTGGCCATGATCACCTTGATAGGATGACCAGAGGCAGATTATCCAATAAGCAAGGTAAGCTTGTCTTTATTTACTAATCTGTAGTGAATAATTTACAATCTGTGACTGGGGCGGGTAACCCAGTAAGCAAGGTAAGCACGGGCTTACTTGTGATTACTGCAGATTAGTAATCACAAGTAAGCCCATACTTACCTTGCTTACTGGGTCATCTGCCCCCGACAGGGATTGTAAATTTGAAAAGAGGCTTTGATTCTGTAGGAAGGTGCTGTGGGGTTGGGAGAGAGACAGATGCCAGCCATACCTAGAAGCAGAATCTTTTTTTTTTTTTTTTTTTTAATTGTACTTTAAGTGAAAGTTCATAATTCAAGTCAGTTTCTCATACAAAAATTTATACACACATTGTTATCTGACCCTAGTTGCTATCCCTATACTGTGAGAGCACACTCCTCGTTTCCATCCCGGATTTCCCGTGTCCGTTCAACCAGCTTCTGACCCTCTCTGCCTTCTCATCTCGCTTCCAGACAGGAGCTGCCCATTTAGTCTCATGTATTTACTTGAGCTAAGAAGCACACTCCTCACGAGTATCACTTTATGTCCCATAGTCCAGTCTAATCTTCGTCTGAAGAGCTGGCCTCAGGAATGGTTTCAGCTCTGGGCCAACAGAGAGTCCGGGGGCCATGTCTTCCAGGGTCCTTTCAGTCTCAGTCAAACCATTAAGTCTGGTCTTTTCACTAGAATTTGAGTTCTGAACCCCACTTTTCTCCTGCTCCGTCAGTGACTTTCTGTTGTATTCCCTGTCAGGGCAGTCATTGGTGGTAGCCGGGCACCATCTAGTTCTTCTGGTCTCAGGCTGATGAAGTCTCTGGTTTATGTGGCCCTTTCTGTCTCTTGGGCTAATATTTTTCTCATGTCTTTGGTGTTCTACGTTCTCCTTTACTGCAGGTCAGTTGGGACCAATTGATGCATCTTAGCCACTCGCTAGCTTTTTAGACCCCAGATGCTACTCACCAAAGTAGGATGCAGAACATTTTCTTAATAAACTTTGTTACGCCAGTTGACCTAGATGTCCCCTGAAAGCATGGTCACCAGACCCCTGCACCTGCTACTCTGTCCCTTGAAGTGTTCGGTTGTATGTAGGAAACTTCTTAGCTTTTGGTTTAATCCTGTTGTGCTGACTTCCCCTGTAGTGTGTGTTGTCCTTCCCTTCACCTAAGATAATTCTTCTCTACTATCTAGTTAATACCTCTCTCCCTCCCTCCCCACCCTTGTAACCATCAAAGAATGTTTTCTTTTGTGTTTAAACCTTTTCTTGCGTTCTTATGATAGTGGTCTTACACAGTATTGGTCCTTTTGCGACTGACTAAATTCACTCAGCATAATGCCTTCCAGATTCCTCCATATTAAAAGATGTTTCATCGATTCATTGTTGTTCTTTATCATTGCTTAGTATTCTATTACGTGAATATACCATAATTTGTTTATCCATTCATCCATTGATGGGCACCTAGGTTGTTTCTGTCTTTTTGCTATCGTGAACAGTGCTGCAATGAACGTAGGTGTTGTATATGTCTATTCATGTGACGGCTCTTATTTCTCAAGGATATATTCCAAGGAGTGGGATTGCTGGATCGCATGGTGCTTCTATTTCTAGCTTTTTAAAGGAAGCGCCAAATCAATTTCCAAAGTGTTTGTACCATTTTAGATTCCCACCAACAGTGTATAAGTTTTCCAGTCTCTCTACTACCTCTCCGACATTTATTATTTTGTGTCTTTTGGATTAATGCTAGCCTTGTTGGGGTGAGACGGTATCTCATTGTAGTTTTGATTTGCATTTCTGTAATGGCTAATGATCACGAGTATTTCCTAATGTAGCTGTTAGCTGCCTGAATGTCTTCTTTGGTGAAGTGCCTGTTCATATCCTTTGCCCATTTTTAAATTGGGTTATTTGTCTTTTTGTTGTTGAGGTTTTGCAGTATCTTGTAGATTTTAGAGATTAGCTGCTGATCGGTTTTGTAGTAGCCAAAATTTTTTTCCCAGTCTGTAGGTTGTCTTTTTACTCTTTTGGTGAAGTCTTTTGATGAGCATAAGTGTTTGATTTTTAGGAGCTCCCAGTTACCTAGTTTCTCTTCTGCTGTTTGTGCATTGTTATTATGGTTCATATTCTGTTTATGCCATGTGTTAGGGCTCCTAGCGTCGTCCCTGTTTTTTCTTCCACGATCTGTATAGTTTTCGATTTCATATGTAGGTCTTTGATCCTTTTTGAGTTGGTTTTTGTGCATGGTGTGAGGTAGGGGTCTTGTTTCAGTTTTTTGCAGAGGGATATCCAATTATGCCAGCACCATTTGTTAAAGAGACTGTCTTTTCCCCAATTAACGAACTTTGGGCCTTTGTCGAATATCAGCTGCTCATAGGTGGGTGAGTTTATGTCTGGATTCTCAATTCTGTTCCATTGGTCTATGTATCTGTTGTACTGGTACCAGGCTGTTCTGACTACTGTGGCGGTATACTAGGTTCTAAAATCAGGTAGTGTGAGGCCTCACACTTTGTTCTTCTTCTTCAGTAATGCTTTACTTATCTGGGGCCTCTTCCCTTTCCATATGAAGTTGGTGATTTGTTTCTCCATCATCTTAAAAAATACCGTTGGAATTTGGATTGGGATTGCATTGTATCTGTAGATCACTTTGGGTAGAAATGACATTTTCACAATGTTGAGTCTAGAAGCAGAATCTTTGATGTGGTGGAAAAAAATGTGAAATTGTTCACTACAGATCGGTAACTAAACCTGTGCTTACCTTGCTTATTGGATAATCCTCCCCTGAGGATGGCACTGGTGGGGGCTGGTGGGGGCTGGTGGTGTCTGTCGTTGGGGGGACATTATTGTTATCTGGGGGCCATGTGTAGTTTGAAAAAGCATACTTGATATTACATTTTTGTATTTGGGAAAGAGAAAAACATCTATTTTCAAAATACTATGAGATTTTTATGATTATCCAAAAAGGAGGGAGTTCAGTTCTTTAAATAGTTGAGAAAACAAGAGACTTGACAGCAGCCACGCAAACAGACATGTACACCAGTATTCACTGCAGCACTATTCACAGTTGCCAGTAGGTGGAAACAACTGAACTGTCCATCAGCGTACGAATGAGTAAACAAAATGTGGTATATACGTACAGAGAGATACTACTCAGCCGTAAAGAGAAATGAAGTCCTGAAATAAGAATAGGCAAATGTATAGAGAACAAAGTTGATTAGTGGTTACTAGGGACAGGATGGACAGGGGAAAGAGAAGTCATTGGGAAGCAGTGAGTTTCTGTTTATGGTGATGGGAAATTTGGCAACAATTATGGGTGACGGTTGTACAACATGATTAATGTCATTGATATCACTAAATTGTATACCTGAAAAATGTTGAATTGGCAAATGTGTTATATATTTTTTTATAACAAAAAGTTGAGCAAATCTACTTTAGAAATGTCTATCCTCAGGGTTTATGAACAGTATCAATTTATTTAGTAGTTTAAATAGGTGTATGGGCTGAGATATTTAAAATAGTCAAAAGACAGATGTTCATGGGAAGGAAGTAGAAGTTCAGGACCTATCAAACTATTCTCATAGAATTGTCCTAAGTACATTGCTGGTGGTTTCTGTGGGGTTGTTGGGAGAAGTTATAGGAGAAAATTTAGATTTCCACAAAAACAGAGAATGGGAATTAGAAATGAAGACAGATTTGGGAAAAATGGAAATTAAAAACCTATAGCAGGAACTGAGGTGGCTTTTGAAAACAACAAATTTAAGCTTAGCGTATATGTTGGCATAGAACCAACTAAGGTTTATAATTATGTGCAAGAACACATTTGTGTGTGACTTATGCCTGTATGATTATGTAAAATTTAATGTCTTCTTTTAACCTAAAGTCAAGTGTGCATAAAGGGTTACCATTTGTGAGACTGTGCCTTTAAAGGCAGTTATGACAATGCTTCTCAACCACTTGGTTTTCCATAGTGATTTATTTTTGTAACAACACTTCTACAAGGATTGTGTGGTCTTTATTAATTTTTTAAAAATAAGAATGAGGTGAAAGTACTTTTATTGAGAAATTTGGGATCCTTCCTGAGATAGAGGTAGGAGTTCCCACGACAGCAGAGTTAGAAATTGGGTGATGAAGGAAAGAGCAATGTGTGACTTGTACCTGGACAGCCTTGTACCTGGAGAAGCATGAGGCCACTACGGATGAAACAAAAGTGCTTTTGTGCAAGCGAGTTGGAGCTGAGCCATGATCGTGGCCAGGAATAAAACCAAACCAAAACCTGTTGCCTTTGAGTCAATTCTGACGCATGGTGACCCTGTAGGACAGAGTAGAATTGCCTCATAGGGTTTCCAAGGCTGTAAATCTTTATGGAAGCAGACTGCCATATTTTTCTCCCATGGAGCAGTTGGTGGGTTTGAACTGTCAACCTTTTGGTAGGCAGCCGAGCACTTAGCCACTGCACCACCAGGGCTACTTATGGCCAACAGTGATATCCCTTTTTTTCACAGGGAGGAGCGTCCTATGCAGGTCTTGAACCGGATGGACTTGAATGCTGATACACTTTCAATAATTAAATCTTAAAGCACACGCAAGAATAAAGCACCCAATCTTTGACATTACTAAAAATTGGAGAGAATCACACTTTGAGGCTCTTTGAATTCGGGAGCAAAAGCAAAGATGTTTGACAAAAAGCCAGTCCAAGAAAGAAATTTCCCCTCCGCCATCTTGCTTCATGAGTTCCTGGAAACTCCCATTACATGGCGGCTCATGGAAAAGACAAGCCAAAGAAAATT